ACAACCAACTGCAACCCCGCCTTACCCCCCTTCTCTGCTTGCCTTTTGCTCTCTCCGGAATCCCACCAGTATGATGTATGTGCGTACGTATGTACATATGTACGTATGTACGTATGTACGTATGTACGTATATATGTATGTATGTATGTATGTATGTATGTATGTATGCAGGCATGCATGCTTGCATGTATGTACGCATGCATGCATGCATGCATGCATGGCTGGCTGTCTGTCTGCATGCATGGATGTATGTATGCATGCATGGATGTATGTATGCATGCATGATGTATGTATTTATGTATGTATACATATGCGTATGTGTGCGTATGCATATGTATAAGTGTGTATGTCTATATACACATATGTATACATACATACATATACATATACATGTAGGTTTAGATATACATGTAAACACATCCACGCGCCGGTCATTCATGTATTGGTTCATATGGTTATTCATGTTAGTTGTGTGTTCGTGTATGCTTTATTTGGTGCCGGCATGGAAAGTGAGACACGGTTCGCATCGTGTGGTTTTGCATGTCGCGGATACAGTTGTTGGTATGTGGTATCCGGCGTCAAGGCCAGAACACCGAGCAGAAGGCAACCTTGCCCATCCTGGGTTAGACGCCTGAATGTGTTGTGTATTACGCAGCCTAAAGCCTGAAGCCTGGACCCTAAACCCTATTCTGATGTTGTTCTCTTACTCTCGGCCCCCGAGAAGCATTCACTGACTCCGACGTCCATGAGGCATGGGCCGGCAGATGGGCTCGAACCAAGTGCTGCCGGCTTTATTGGAGCAAGCTTCCTGCAAAGTAGGTAGTGTCGGATGCAACACTAGGGGCAGCTGGGTCATTTGGCATGTCCGGAAAGTGGCAACCTGCTCATCAGGAAGGACAGAGACCGCACCGTAGCCGTTTCAAGTCAAGGCATTTTGGAACAGCGCACATCCGGAGCCAGGAACACAAATGATGGGATTCGCCGCCGTCGCACTTGTTCTGGGATGCGCTTACGGATTGCCCTCTGAGGATCTGGAGAAACCGCACAAGTGGGTCCCCGCGGAGCAGTGTACCTTCGTGAATCCCCCGAGGGTCATGCGTTCTGCCAAATCACCGGCTTTCAGTTCACCAGTGTTCCCTCTAAGCCCTCTCCATGTCGATCTGCCACATGACCTGAACCTCCATTCCTATAAACTCTCGTAGAGTGGGTCATAGCTTCAAGGCTGCTAGATCCAACCTGCGGCCTCAGCAGTCCCGACCTTTAAGTCGCTGCAGAAGTTGGTCCCCGCATCATGGTAGGAGTCGGGAACCCCATTGCAGTTCTGAATCCCGAAGGTTCCGTACTACTGGGACGAGAAGTGTGCTGTTGAGTCTTTGGGCTGTTGGGCAGAACCTCGGCAATTGTCTGGGCCATTTCAGACCGGGTTCTCATGTCTGAGAACCCTCCGCCCACCTCTGTTCTAGAGCTTTTCAGGCTGTCGGCCCTAGGGACCCTGTATATCCTATGCCCCGTTTTCGACAACTCGGGCATCCGCGGCCTTATCCGTCCGAGTTGAACTCCGAGTCTCCAGCACTTCTAGCGATGACCAACGCAGTAGTGTCAGTAGTGTCCTCATGCTCGATTTTGATTAAGGCCGGTATGACTATGATGACGATGATGATGATGCGACACTGATTGCAGTTACAGTTGCTGGTGTTGTGGGCATCGTTGCCGATGCTGAATATGAAGATTCCCAGGATCAGTCCCAAAGAAGGGGATCCTCATGTTCACATCTCTCACAAAAGGACCCCTGTGATGTTAATTGAGGGTTCAGAAGGCAGCTCAGTGCCTGAGGAGAGTAAGCCTTTACACCTTGGCAGGACGAGAGGTCCGAAACACCAAATCCGATGAACACGAGAGAGCTGCAGAAAGCCTCCGTACCCGATAAGCTCAGGATGGGGTTCACCCTCAATGCCGATTTTGCGGGGAGGCTCCTTGGCACGGGCTTGGAAGTATTTCCACAACCTGAAACATCGTTGCTTTCTCTATACGACGCCAAACCCACGACTTAGGCTCCATACACAGGGCTGAAATGCCCTGACAACGCCATTGTTCCGCATCGCCGAGCCTGCGCTTTCGACAATCCTCCGATTGTTCCCTTCTACTGGGAGCCGACATGCGAGGATGGCATGTTGGGATGCTTCGCTGACGGACACAACTTGGGTTGCAGGTATTGTGGCCACGGGATCTATGAAAACATAACTTGCCCAACATCTGTGTGCAGCTTTGTCAACGAGCCCGTTACACCGTACTACTGGGATACCTTGTGCCTGGGCTGTTGCCAAGAGAAGTGTTTCATCAAACATAGACATACAATATACGAGTGCTGTAGATGTGCGTGGTATCTGTGTATATTTACACAATGTGGTATCTGTTTACATATATTGGCATCTATGATCTATGCATGTGAATGAATGAATGAATGAATGAATGAATGAATGAATGAATGAACGGATGGATGAATGCATGTATTGTATTGTATTGTATTGTATTGTATTGTATTGTAATGTAACGTAATGTAATGTAATGTAATGTAATGGCATGTACTGCAATGTAATGTAATGTACTGTAATGTAATGTACTGCTATGTAATGTATCGTAATGTAATGTAATGAAATGCAATGCAATGTAATGTAATGTAATGTAATGTAATGTAATGCATGTATCTATGTATGTATTTATGTACTTATCTATATATCTATCTTTCTATCTATCTATCTATCTGTCTATCTATCTATCTCAATGTAAAGATGTAATGAAATGTAAAGAGATGTAATGAGATGTAATGAAATGTAATGAAGTGTAATGAAATGTAATGAAATGTAATGAAATGTAATGAAATGTAATGAAATGTAATGAAATGTAATGAAATGTAATGAAATGTGATGAAATGTAATGAAATGTAATGAAATGTGATGTAATGCAATGCAATGCAATGCAATGCAATGCCATGCATGTGTGTATGTATGTAATGTAATGTAATGTAATGTAATGTAATGTAATGAAATGTAATGTAATGTAATTATGTAATGTAATTATGTATGTATGTATGTATGTATGTATGTATGTATGTATGTATATGAAGTATGTGTGTGTATGTATGTGCGTAGGTATAGGTATGGGTATGGGTATGGGCATGGGCATAGGCATGGGCATGGGTATGGTTATGGGCATGGGTATGTATGTATATGTTCATGCACATGTGTATGAGTGCCTGTATGCGTGCTTGCATGTATGTTGGTATAAGTCTGTCTGGGTTTATGTAAGAATGTATGTGCGTGTATGTGGATGAGCAGATGAACGGAAGGACGGAAGGACGGATGGATGCAGGGATGGCTGGCTGGCTGGCTTGCCGGGTGGAGGGATGGAGGGATGGATGGATGGATGGATGGATGTTTGCATGTTTGCAGACCATACAGATATGTCGACCCCTGGGCAGAAAGGTAGAAGATAGGCTCCCAGCTCTTCTCCCAAGGCCAAGAAAGAGATGATGTGAAGCACCAATAGCCAAGATTAGCCAAGGTGTCAGATGGGTATGCTGGGATGCAACGCAGATGGGATCCACGTCCAGTGCCGGTTTTGTGATTTTCAGCCCTTCAATGCCATTCAGTGCCCTGAAAGTGCCCGGCCAACCTACGAAGATGGGGAATGCTGGTTCCCAATGGGCACAGCTCAGACTCACAAGTGGAATCCGCGATGCCAGTGGGGCATTCTGGGTTCTTCGGTCGCAGGATTCAGCATTGTGCAATTCGTTTGTGCGTGAGCCTGACGGAGAGTCGATTTGAACTCTGCCTTTTCAGTGCAAGAGCCGAGTAGGGTATGCTCGCATGCCCTGCCTTGCGACATGCTGATGCCTATTTCGAGGATCGCCAACCTGCATTATTGAATTGCCATGGTGACTGTAAGTAGCGACATGCCGATGGCGACAAGGGTGGCTGTGATCGGGATGGTGGCGAGGTAGGTCATCGAGCTTACTAGGAAGCCATGCTCATTATCACCCAGGTTCTTATGTTTAAGTCTTTGTGGTTCGGTTTGGAAATCCTAAACCCTAAACCTGAAACACCGAACCCCAAACCCTAAACTTAAGCCCGAGCCCCCGAATCCCTAGCGCTCAACCCTAAACACCTCGTCCTTTACGTATACTATTACTGCTATACTGCGTGAAACTCTTATACACGATCATACTATCATCATATACTGTTCTAACATTCTACGATGCTTACCCTTGAGTTGTACTCTATTACATACTATCATCCTATCATCATCTTTAAAGGACCCCTCTTATCATCATATACTGTATTCTACGTATGCTTCTTCTACGAAGGCTGCTGGGCCGATGGTGTGCACCGGCAGTGCCAGTACTGTGGCCCCGGGTCCGACGGAGCTTTGGATTTCTTGCCTGGGGCTGCAAGGGTTTAGGGGTGAGGGATTTAGGGGTTTAGGGGTTT